CCCAAATCCCAAATCCCAATTCTAAATTCCAAATTATTAAATAAATTTTATTATATACTATAATAAATTATATAGTACACGTCACTCTGGTTATATCGACACTCGCTAGCAATGAAAATTTTGTCGATATATCCAGATGTTGGTATAATAAACATCTCTTTCTATACCGACATAATAGTAATATTATATAAATATGTCGATTTAGTAAATAAAAATTATTTGTATTTTGTAATGAGTATAATACGAATAATATATAGGTATTGAACATGTGTTCTTATATAACAATACGAGAATAGACAAGTAGAGATAAGTTTATTAGCAATGTTAAAAAACTTTGCCCTGCATCTTTTGCAAGCCCGGTTATTTGATATGCGAAAATTAATCTACTATTTCTGCGAGAAATTATATTTATTGTACTGTTTATTAAGCATATATAGAATTAATATACTTATATAAATTCATAGTTCATATATATGAAGTATGAGGTGCAAACTTAAGATATATAGTTAGAACTGAAATATAGAAATAAACAAGCGATGGACTTTAACATTCTAAGAAAGTTTTCAGAATGAAAATTTTTTCAAAATCCTATTTTCAGATTAAATTACGACTATTTAAAGATGTTTTAAGCTCATGATGTAGGATATTCGCAAACTTTCATGGTGGCAATGTCTTGTATCCCGCTAAAAGTTTTTTAGACAAAGATTTTATACCAGCCGCAGGTATCTATAGCGGGAGTAATTATGGTTATTAATCTGATGATAAAAATCTGCGCAACTAAAGTTGTTTATAAGACTTCAGATGCTTTATCAAATTTGACAAGTCTACCAAAACCCCAAAAGTTAGTTTGTTATTACAGTGTGTGAATTCATTTGTTAATATTTTAACTCAAGCCCAATTTAATAAGTTAGATAAAAATCTTCATTCGCACAATAATGACTTGTAGTTATCAAAATTTCTATTTATTTAATTTGTACCATACCTTGATTGTTAATAGCATACGATAAAATATATGTAAAAGTCATATCATCAAAAAAAATATACCTATAATATGAAACAAAAAAAAAAAAGAAAAGAAAATAGAACCAAAAAGTTTGTATTCAACTGAGTATAAAAATTTCTTTAAACTAACAAATAAATTTTTGTTAAAAAAAAGAAATTACTTTGACATAAAAAATTCTAATGAATTATTCTCTAATAAAAAAAAGAGTTTAATGTTGTTTGTTTGAAATTTTTTTTTACTTGATAAGAAAGCTCTTTTCGTATTCGCTTAAGTTCAGAAAAAACTTTAATATCGATTTTCAGACTTGATTCTGGTTTCTCAATATAACCTAATACTGAATCCAATCCCGTAATAGCTTGAATTGCTGTAACAGGTTTAATTTGCTGTTCTGGTTCTTCTTCAGACTCGTTTTCTTGAATTTCTGCAATAAGATCTTCAACTGTAGGCATTTCACTTGTTGCATATTTGTCATCAATTTCAATAAATTCATGAACAGAAATATTTAAATTTTCAGGATTTTCAGGATTTTTAGAAATTTGAAATCGAGCAATAAGATTTTCTAACTCAATTTCTTTCTCATTAGTAAAATCATTAAGAGATTCTGAATCTATAGTTTCATCAATTTCTATAGAAGGAAGAATACCTGTTTTTTGCCAAGAGTGAATAATTACATCTTCAGAAACTTTATTCCAAGCTTGTGCGACAAATTGAATTGCATCATAAATCGTAACAGGATCTGGAGGCTGATTTGTAAGATTTGATTCATCAAATGCAGCAATCTGGTTTTGTAGTAATAACTTACGATAGTGACTCTATAATAATTCTATTTATAGATTTGTATAGTATGTACGTATTAAAAATTATACAAGTATATTTATATAACTTAAAGTAAAAAAAAAAAGAACTAACCTTAAATGAATAGATTATTCCTGCATCATATGGTTGTAACCATACAGTAGTAAGTTTTAGAAAAAAATCTACTTTAATATTACTTAAGTTTAAACCATCAATAGAGTGTGCTGAGCAATTATCCATAAGTAAAAAAATTTTTCGGTAAGCACAACACATTTGACGATCTAGATCAAATAACCATTTTTAAAAAATTGAGATTTGCATCCATGCTTTTTTGTTCTAATAATATAGGACAGGTAAAGATGATTTTTTTATTCCTCGTATTGAATGTGGATTTTCAAATTTATGAATAAAAGCGGTGGTAATTTATCACCAACAGCATTACATGTTAACATTACAGTAACCCGATTTTTTGGCTTTTTAACTCCTGAAATACGACCATGTGTAAGTGATTTTGAAGGTTCTAAAAGCCAATAAAGTGCAGTTTCATCACAATTATAAGTATCTATTAGATCATAGTTTGATGTTTTATTTTGTAAAGTTTGATGAAATTCAGGTAACTTTTCAATTGGAGCACTAGCGGCTTTCCCACAATGTGCAGTATAAACAATATGATGCCGTTTTTTAAAGCCCTGCAACCAACCATCAGATACAGCAAAATTTTGAATTTTTAAATTTGTTGCAATCTGTTTGGCTTTTTCTTGTAAAATTAACACCGTAATTGTTAAATAGTTTTTTAAGACAAGATCAAACTACTGAGCAAGAATTTTTTCTAATTGTGGATGATCTGGCAATCGATTTCACTTTTGCTGTGCTATGTTACTTTCCTCATCTAGACCAAGCCAATATGACGATTTTGCAAGTATATTAGCTACTGTTGATCGACCGATTTCAAATTTATCTGCCAATTCTTGTTAAGTAAAGTTTGGATTATCTTGTGCAAATTGGCACAATATTTTTTTTTTGCTTGCCGTTTAATATTTTATGGGGTTTTTTAGATACATCTTTTTTTTTTCGTTGATTTTGCCTTTACGTTTAGTAGAAATAATTTCACTATCATTATCTAACATATTTCTACTAATACTGTAAATGTTAAGATGTAAAAAAACTTTTATTATTTAAACTTTTAACTACCAGTATTTATATCTGTTTTCTTTTTCCCTTAATATCAGCATTTGTATTATTTGAACCTTTGGGCCAACCCTTTGTCTTGAAGCTTATGGGATTGTTGATAATAAGTGCAAACTCAGAATATTATCGTCATATCTGACTTGACTTACAACTTCATTCTCCATTTTACTAACAAAGTCTTTGTAAATTGTATAAAGCTTTTCTACTCTACCTATTGTAATAGCCAAATTTAATATTTTTTTCATGAGACCAAATCTTTTTTTCTATTGCTGTTTTTGAATTATTTTTTTGTGAACTTCATTAGTAAAGATATGATTTCTCCAAAGGTCATCCAAGTGTGAAAAATCAACGTTAGTAGCATCATATTTAATAGCACCAAATTCCTCACATAATATTACTAAAATTGCTAGCTTAGCAGAAAAACTAGCTCCCAGTGCAAATAAATTTTGATATCAATGTTGTAGTACAAGTCCAATGTAAAATTTAGCATTCAGAAATACAAGTATGATAGCAAAAAATAACAACATATAAGGCCACAATTTATCAATATTAAGCATGTACAGAGGTGCCCAAAGTCATCATATAATATGACAAAATGTTTACTCTTCTTATTAATAGAGTGTATATGCTATAGTTTATGAATTCTTATCATGTCAAGACCAAAGATTAGCTGATTAAGTTCTACTAAGCAGGCATCAAACATATTCTCAGAAAACATGCCTCTTGGTGAATCAGAATTAATCTAAAATAAAAAGTATAATATAAGGTATCTGCAAAAAAAACAACACCAAGATATAAAATCGATTTCATTATCATATAATTTTTTTATATCAATTAGCTAATTAAAAATCAGAAACAGGTGTAATACAAAAAATTCAAAACAAGCAAAGTTCAAAACAAACATTCTTAAAAAAATTTTAAAATAAATGCTCCTTCTAACAAAAAATTTCTTACTAAATTATTGCCTTCTAATTCTAACCTTAATTCAACCTAACCTTAATATAAACAAAGCTTTTTTTACATTTGTTTTCTAGTATCACGTGACAATACAATCGATTCAACATTCTGTTAAAATTTCTGTCAAATACAAATTGAATAATTAATACACACCTATTATCCAAGTTCGCAATCCAAATTAGCTAATCAGCATCGATAATGTATATTTCTGTTCATTTCATACCGTTGTAATTTAAATAATACCGGTGTTAAATAACGTTAGCATGATATATCAACTTTTTGGAAATAATGATCATAGTAATTCTCATTATGGCTTGCAGATAGCTTGCCAATAGCTTCATTAAAATTAATGAACTGGCTTTCTTTTACTAACAATTTTTCAATTATATACTCAAGTTCTAAAAGCAATAATTTTCTATTAATATTGTTTTTAATAATTCTATTGTAGAATTTGACACACTGCATACTTTGTATTTCCACATTAAATGCCTGGTGTGTATAACAAAGTACCCAGGCTTTCCAATACTGATAAGATAATAATGCAAGTAATTTGTAACATCTGGATATTCATTTAATAGTGCAGCTCACCTTTATTCAAAAATCGATTTTACATAACTATTACATATATAACAAAATGCAGAAAAAAATTTATACCACTTATCATTATCATATCTGCTTATAAAATATTTTTCTAAATTCTTTTGTATATAAAATAGGCAAAAATGATGTTTTGTCATCGGCTAGAAAGTATTTACTATAGCGATCATAGCAGGATTAGTATCAGTATAAAGCAAGCTTGGTACTAACCCCCTGTCACATTAAAAAGGCTAATAAATAGCTATGTAAAACTGTTTTTGGTTTCATCAGAAAGAAGGACCGTAGCAGCAAAACAAAAGCGATTATAATTGTTTACAAGGACTATAACACATACTGTAAAATTATTAAATAACAGTTGGTTTTTGCCATTGTATCAAGAAGAATAATGTTATGAAAATGAGCCCAAAGCTCTTGCTGAGATAGTCTCATTCAGCAAAGTCCTGCAAAATGATTATCCTGATCTTTAAATTGAGCATCAACATGGAAGGCCAGATTCTCTTACTTCTGCTTCATTAATTCAAGATATACAGAGCAAGCATTACTCTAAACAAAATTTTGATAGTGAATAGATTGAGTGAAATTATAGATATTGTGGGGATAAATATATTTTTCTAGATTTTTATGCTGCAAAACCTTAATTATTGTATCAACTTTCACACTACATTCTGCTAGTAATTTTATATTGTCATACATTGCTAGAGTGAGCTTTCTATAATATGATAAAAGAGTATTTATATTTTTTACAAGCTCATAGCTATGCTGGTTCTCAATCTTTGTTATATAGATTAGATTATCCTTCTGGTAGTGAACATTAATATAAACCTTGCAATTACCAGTATTATGCTCCTTATTGCGACTTTCATTAATGTGGGTTTCCTTCTTTGGTATATATGGCTGATCTCTTGTATATACGTAGATATGTCGTCTAGATGAACTATTACTTTTATTTTTGTCACTATACGTGATTATAAATGCAAACCCTTGTTCTAATCTATAAAACTTCAACCATCTAATAGTAAAAAAAAAATACTTTAGTCTTATCAATAACAACTAAGATGTATATATAACTTCATATTTAATTATAAAATTATTTTCTTTATAACTAATATGTTCCAATAATGATGCACAAACTATTTACTTGTTAATTTCTTTTCAGCTTTTAAAATCTATTCCAACTATAATTGGATATAACAGTCCATTTTTAGCTTTGGTTTCATTTTCATATCCAGTGTTGTTTTTAATCTCTTGAAAAAACTCATTAAGAGATTGTTCTTCTGCTACATAGTTAGAAGATAACTGTTAGCTGTGATTATGAACAGCAGATCAAACAACTTGACCAAGATCATAGACAACAGTATTGTCGTAAATAACAAAATAATCATAAACAATGAAATAATCATAGGCAACAGAATAATCATAGGCAGCAGGATAATGAACAACAGAATGATAGACAACAGAATGATCATGAACAACAGAATGATAGACAACAGAATGATCATAAACAGAAAGTTTATGAGCAACAGAATGATTGTAAACAATAGAATAATTGTAGGTGATAGAATGATCATAGATAATAGAATAGTTGTAAATGATAGAATAATCATGAATAATAGAATGATTATTTACAATAGAATAGTTGTAGATGATAGAATAGTTTGAACTACAATGGTCATTACAAAAAGAAGATTCCTCAGCACCATGAAAGTCATCTCTAACGAAAGATTCCTCAGTACCACAAAGGTTACTATGAACAAAAAACTTCTTGGCAATGTGAAATTCAATACCATGAAGGTTATCACAAACAAATTCCTTAGCAGCACCACAAGGGTCACTACAAACAAAAGATTTTTTGGCACCACTAGAGTCACAGCAAGAAAAGTTTAATGGTTGTTCTTAAAAAAAATCTATGAGAAAAAAATCTGTGAGAGAAAAGTCTTTATTTATAGCTATGTTACTTGTACTACTTTCTTTATACATTGTATATTGTTTATTGTTATCACATTGTTCAATAAAAATGTAAAAAAGGGCGTTAGTGCATACATTTGACATATTATTATAAATCAAAATTACTTTATTTTGATTGGCCCAATTTATTATTTACTTATACATGTAATATGGTATTGAATACTATGATTATACATGTTGGACAAACTCTTGAGATTTGGGATTTGACCATGGAAAAACCCGGACAAATGGAATTGTCTATTTATATTTAAAATTCTTATATGGCAAAATTGGACAAATTTTAATTCCAAATCCCAATCCCAAACCCAAATCCCAAATCCCAAATCCCAAATCCTATATAATGAAGTTAGAGTTTGTTAGCCTCTAAGTAAAGTTGTAGAAGAGGATTTTTTGGTTCTAATGGTAATTAAATCATCAAAATTGGCCTGGTAGATCTCAAGATATTTGAGATTAAAGGTGCAAATATAGAGATCTGCAAATTGGTGGTTACACAAAGTATTATAGTCTTTAGTGCTTTGTGTAATCACCAATTTGAAGATCCCTATATTCACATCTTTAACCCCAAATATCTTGGGATTTATCAGGCTAATTTTGATAATCTAACTACCATTAGAATCAGAAAAACCTTTTTTACAACTTTACTTAGAGGCCCAACAAACTCTAACTTAATAAAAACTTCTTTAATTTTAAAAAATTGATTTTTTTATATTTATTTATATTGTTTAATTTAATTAAATTTGAT